GAGACGGAGGAGGCCGAGGCCGCGGCCCAGCCGGTGCTCGGCGCCTCCCCGGGCCCCGCGGCGGCGGGGGGCGGCCGGCGGCGGGCGCTGAACGGATGCGTGCCGCTGTCGCACCAGGTGGCCGGGCACATGTACGGCAAGGATAAAGGCGGTGAGCGGCGACGGGCGCGGGGAGGGGGCGGCGGGCCTGGCCGGGTCACCGGCGAGGGAGTTCTTCCCACCCCCACCCTACCCTCCGTTTATCTGAATTCTCCCAGACCGGCTGTGACGGGCGGGTTTGGCTTCGAGTTCCCTCACGCCCCGGGGGCGAGGGGGCAGCTCCGCGGCTGGCGGGGCAGGGGTCGGTGCCGGCGGGAGCGGCGCCGGGGGCGAGCGCAGGACTCGCCGCCGCCGTGGCCGAGCTGCCGCCGGCGGGCTCCGGCCGCACCTGTCGGCCCGAGGTGCCGCAGCAGCGCGGGAGGCCGGGGCTGGGGCCTGGGGCAGCGCCGAGGCACCGGAGCCTCCCCGGGAAGGCCGGAGGGGGGCCGGTCGAGCTCCCCGCTCCGCACAGGCCGTGGATGGAGCGGTGTAACCGCTGCTAAATTTTATTCTTCTGGTGCTTTTCCTAAATGACATTAGTCTGTCAGGACGTGATAGTTATCAGGCACCCTGAAACCGAAGGACTTCTGCCGTTCAGCTTCATTTTATCAGGCACCTTTTTAAAAGGGGGCATTCAGGTAGCAGCACGCTGGTTCTCAGAACAGATGTCAGAAACGTGGTTTATCTAACGGGACCACCTGAACCTGTGGCCACCAGAAACTTCAGCAAATTATTACTAAGCTATTGTTATTTGCTTGTTTATTTGACGATAAATCTAAACCAATGGTTAGGAAGTGATCTAGTAATACAAAGACATGAGGATACAGCATTTTAAAGTATGTCTCCACCAGCTCTAAATTTCTATTTTAGCTCCATGTTGAGGAGTAAGGTGTTGGCCCTTCTGATGAAGGGGCCTTTTAGCATAGGCAGTGGTCAGTGCCAAAGCAAGCGGCCAAATTAATGCTGCCAAATGGCATTTCTCGTCTTTCCAGGACATTGCATTTGGGGTAGCTCCTGCCTCTCAGCCAGATGGAAGGTATGCATCCATTCAGCTTGCAGTGTGCTCTCTGGGAGTAGCTATAATGAGAACCTGCTGGTGTATTGCCTTTGAGGCCTGGCCGTAGGAACTGCCCCTGCTGAATAGGCCAGGGGCTGGATTACAGAACCCTGTCAGCCATCAGTGAATGAAATTACAGCACTAATGGCACTCTAAGTTTGTCTTATCTATGGCCTGCATCCATGGTGTGCCTTGCTGCAGATAATCTCAACAAAAAAGTCATTCTTCTCTTTGCCCTGCCAAGGGCTGAACTTCAGAACCTGTTGGATCATCAGTGACTGGAATTACAGCACTTAGGGCACTGTGAGTTTGTCTTACGTGCAGGTTGTTTCCATGGCATTGTCTTGCTGATAATCTCCACAGAAAAGTAATTCTTGTCCCTTGCCCCAGCTGCAGACAGTGCAATAAAATGTAGATGGAGGTACATTGGGTCCTTGAAGGTGTATGTGTTCCATGTTCATACATCATAGCATGAGGTGGGATCAGGCAAAAAAAGGCTTATTCAGGGAGAGCTTCACCTTTGGCACATCAGTCTTGCTGCAGTTAGGTCAAACAGCACAGGTGACCACGTGTATTTTGGGTGCCACGCCAATGGGTTAGGTAAAGCTAGCTCCACTACGTCTCATGGGCAAGACCAGGAGTTTTCTGCAGAGGTACCACCATGGTTGATTTCATCTTGGAAACTGTTTTATGTTGAAGTGAAGACCAAAGCTGTTCTGGTACTCACAGCTCTCAGTTTTGTAACTCGATTTTCCCTTCTATTCCCACATACAAACAGACAGAGGACTTGAAGGTATCCAAAGTATCTTTAACTTTTACTTTTTTTAGTAAAAGTACACTGTAAAATTTCTCCTGAATAACCTTCCTTTTCCCCTTTGTTCCCTGTGACTGTTACTGCCTTGCAAAGAAAGGCCTCTCACAGCCTCTCTGCATGCATGTGTAGACATTAGGCTGCTGTGCATTGTGACTGCCCTTTTGTTGAATGCTGTGTGCAGTAGTGCTTCCCCAGATAAATGGTGTGTAGTGAGTGAAGTAATGACTTTGGGTTGTGGCTTAATTCCCTAGGCGGGTAGAGAGAGACAGCGCCTGCTGGGATGTGTCACCTCATGGAGCCTCCTGCACCTGCCTGGGCTTTGGTGCCTGGACCTGCAAAATGCTGGGGGTCCCCAAGCCAGTAGTGGGGTTCTGTAGCTAAAGGGGCCGTTCTCCTTCAGAGTGACTTGCTTGCTCATTTCAGAGTGGTAGCAAGCTTTGCATCCACAGCCAGGGAGAAATGTGAGATATTTCAGGGTTTTTTTTTCAGCATAGCTCTGTTGATTCCTCAGAAATATTAATTTGCTTTTTCATATGTTAAAAGAGTCCTAGTCCCTGTCTGTGCTGAAAAATCCCAGGAAGCCTACAACAAACCCATGACCAACATGCATCTATTGGTATGATCTGCTGGTGGGGGTGATCTGTGCTTTTTGTAGATCAGAGAGAAGGTTGTGGAGTTTACATCTTCGTGGTGGATGTTGAAACATGGTTCTGGTTTTCAGGCCTGCCCCAGTCACAGTGACAGAGTAGTGCAGTAAGTGTTCTAGTCAGTCAAGAATGCAGAGAATGAGGGAACTTTAGATGTCAGATAATATTCAACTCTTCAATTAATATGAATCAACCCAATAGTGTATGGATTCTGCTTCCAGGAGTCTGCCTGGTCTTTCTGCCTTGTAGATTGTCTGCTTATCAAAGGCAAAACACAGGTTTTTGAGGAGCATGTATTATAAAACCTATTTTAATGTTTAACCCATTTTATTTTAATGTGATTGTTGACAATTCCATGTGGAACATGTGCCATTCAAGTACTTGGTGCACTTTACAGAGGGGCTTCCAGCACATGCAAAAGAGTACAGGGAGGGGGAGCACAAGCTGCTGTGTCTTGAACACGTTGTGGTAGTCTGCACATGTGTGGCAATATTTTTCTAGTTTTGGAAAGTGCATAAAATCCAACTTCAGGCATGAAACATGGCTTGAGAGCTATTTTATGCAAATTTTGAAAGCAAATCCTTGGCATAGCAAGCTATTGAAATAATTATTCTAAGCCTGGTGGTCGTTTTAAAGTAAATATCTTGGTCTCTAAAAATTTTGTTTAGTTTCCAAGACTGCACAACAGAGCCCATTCGTAGATAATGGGTTTTAAGAGGTGAAAAACACAATTGCTGATATAACTGCAAACTCTCTTTGGGATGCAAAGCTCCTGGCTCATTTTTCTGTTTTCTCACATGGTAGTTGAAAATAGAACCTATTTTGGATACAGTTGACATTTTTGCTACCGTTCTAAGCAAAATAAATGACTGTCTGAAAAGCTAGAAATGAATCTTAGGAGAAAAATTCTTTTACAGAAGTGGGTTTTTGGTTTTCTGTTGAACCTAATGATGTAACACAGGACACATTTCAGAGGAATGCAATTACTTTTCTCCATGTTGCCTACATCCATGTCTTGAGCATCCTCAGATACTCAGTTGCATTTCTTCTGCAGGTATTCAGAAATACTGGTGGCTGGAAAGTCTTAAGGCTGTTGCATGAGGGTATTTTGGAGGGGTTTTTTTGTGCAGGCTTGATGGAGGTGTTGCCTGGCTGAGGTGAAATTCTGTACTGTAATTATGGGTGATCCAAATAGTAGCATCTGATAGCTTGGAGTGCTGTAAGGATGCTACTTCTTGTAGTAAAGACATACTCTATCTGTGCCACTAGTATAGATGTACATCCACAGGACATTTATTTCTGCTCTAGTAGTGAGAAATGCATTAAATGTGGCACTCCTTGAAAGTCTTGGCATTGTTGAAGTACAATTTATGAATTATTTAAAAAGGGAGTGTCTGTGTAATCTCTTTTAGTTAATGATGGGGTTTTTGGGGGTGGAAGTTTTAATGTCAAATCCCAGTGTTGGCCTTGGGCAGAGCTACACCCAGGAAATTATTCGGTGGGTAGAAATAAGAGGAATGCAAGCAAACCTCTGCTAAGGGTTATATGTAGGAGCTGACAATTTTGTCTCTACTGTGTGTGCAGCAGAAACAGTACAGCTTTTCAATAGGCTGTCCTTGATGGTGAAATCACTATTTCTGGAAAAAAAGAAAAGGCAGAAAGAAAGCTGTACCTCTTAAAACTAAGCCCTGAAGGAAATGCTTCTCTTCTAGGCATACTGCAGCATCCAGATGGAACTGTCCTGAAGCAGTTGCAGCCACCACCTCGTGGTCCCAGGGAGCAAGAGTTCTACAACAAGGTGAGGGTCCCACAGTGTGGAGGAGGCTGGCTTGCTCCAGCTGAAATGGGGGCTGTGCTTCCTGTAAAAGTACATCTTATCATTGCAGTTGGGAAAGTGCAACCTAAATCCTCTGCCATGGTATCTGTGTGCTCTCTAGAACTTTCTGCTCCTTGCATGTCAGTCCTCCTGCCAGACCTACTTCACTCACAGGATTTAAGCTTGCTTGCTTGTTAATAGGGTAGCAGACTTTCACAGCATCTAAGATTTTATTGAAAAGCCTTCTCTCCTGTCTGTGTTCAAAGGGTTGGATGTTTGATCCCCACTTTCTCACATAGCTAAGTCTCTCAAAAGTGCTTGCATCTAAATTTAGCATGTTTTATGCTTCTTCCTAGCCTGGTTTACTGCTAGAAGTATTGCTCTGTTCACTGTATTAAAACTCAGCTCCTTTAAAAAGTCAATAAAAATCAAATCTCTCAAGTTGTTTTAATTTCAATTTTTGTATTTTTCCTATTGCTTATCTTCAGTTTGCTTTATCAGTAACTTTAACAAGTGCAGACCAGGAAAGCTGTTGCTTTCCTGTGAACAGTTTCTAGAGCCTGCTCTGTCCTACCTGCCTGTGACAGTTGTCATGTGTTTTTTGTGTGTCAGATTGATATGCCATGCCTCTCCATGGCTTATTAGGTACAAAAAACTATCAATATCTTCACGCTTGGTGTAAGAGGAGTCTTGAGACCCTCTGCTTGTTGTGGTGTTTGGCTTGGATTTTGGTTGGTAGGTTTATTTTTCCCTAGAAGAGTATTTAAGTTACCAAAAGACCTTGCAGATTTTGTGAAAATGTCTCACATAAAGCAAGGTGCTTTAAGTGAACAGTGTGTTTGCATACTAGCATTATTTGATAATTCTCATGATGGGACACGACAGCAGCGCCTGACTTACTAGGAGCCAGTTAAATATAAATATTTTCTGAGTTTCTCTGTGACTCTTATGGAGATGAGGTGAAGAAATATGCCATCCAGCCTGACTGGTAACTTGAGTAGAAGGAGGAAGCTTGAACAGACTCCTTTGGGCACCAGGCTACTTACTGTGCTGTGAAATCCTCAGGCAAAGACAGTGACATGCTGTCCTTGCCTAAAGCCAGCAGGTGTGAGTTCAGGCATTGCTTGCACATGAATTTTCCACATCAGAGACTTTATAATTTTGCCTGTTTAAGCTTAGACTCATGTGACAAGCTGGGAGCAAGACCCTGGGCAGAGTCTTTGAGAAGGGGGTGTCTGTGTCAGTGTGCTTGTTACTGTGCCGTGGAGAAGTCAGGTCCCAATGCTAGTAACTTGCAAAGTAAGCTTCTATTCTGTCTCCTAAGGCCTTGCTAGCTTGCTTCCAATACTGAATTTTTTTGCTTATAAGCCATAAACTAACAGAGAAAGGGAAAGATGTAGACATGATTAGTTGTGTGTGGACTAGAAGGCCTTTTAGTGAGAGAAGGGAAGGAGAGCACGTACATGTGTGTTGTGGTGGTGAAAGTACAGGAGAAAGGTCTTGGAGATTTGTTGCTCTTCAATGATTACCTGCTATCATGTTTACTCTCAGGCAAGAGCTGTGTGATGTGGGTTACAGACATCTAAGCACTACACATTATTGTTATAGGGTGATAATTGCTCTGGGTTGGGAGGGTCAGGATAGGGTGCAGTTTCACATGCAGCTTGAGCTGATCCAATAGCTCATTGTTGGCTAAAGGGAAATAAATGCCTTTCTTTCCATTCCTGACCTTTACCTTGCACCATGATAGTGCTGTTTGGACATTTATGAACTAATTTGACCTATTTAAAAGATGGCAAAACTTAATTGTCTTGATAGTGTTCTGGAGGTTTAGTGGACTAATTTGACAAGCAATGGGAGCAGCAAGGCTGCCCTGCTTTGGTGACTGAGTTCAGCCTGTCTTGTGGGCTGTAATCAAAGAGACATTATCACCTTGGAGAAGGCTGATGAGCCTCCAGAGATGGAGGGAAGGATAATTTTACTGCTCCTTGAGACAGGGGGTTGTTTGAAAGGTGGCCATGTACAGGAGATGGTGAGAAACAGTGCAGAAATGAAACAAGTGAAATAAGCCTGATGAGTCCCAAGCTCTCCCTTTGTCAGGGCAATGCAGCAGGTTGGTTGGTAAGATCAAAGCACGTGGTTGTCCAGTAGTATATGTGGATTAATTGTGATTTTTTTTTTTTATATTTCTGCTTCTGTTTTTTGATATGTGCTTTGAACTGTTTTGTCTGTAGGTATGTGAGTTATTGCTCCCTTTGCATCCCACCTTATACTAGCATGCATGAAAATTAGTGCCCCAGTACCTGGGTCAGAAACAAAGGGGGGTATTTTTCCTTCTGGAACAGCACACCTCCTCGTGGGGAGTAACTGAGAAGCTCTGTAGTTGATGGTAGCAAGAAGGGGAGCATGTCACAGTTTCAGCTGCATGAGTCAGCTGGAGAGCAGCTATGGCAGATCTGAAGCAGAAGTGTCTTCCAAGAAGCAGGAAGTGGGATTTCAGTGTGCAGTCCTAGCACTTGTCAGCTGAAGGCTGCAGGGAATGTGTTGTGATAGATGATAATGAGGCTTTAAGGGACAAGTTTGACTAGAGCTCTGATATATTTAATGTGATACCATGTAGATATTATCTTCTGTTTGGACCAAGAAAGTCTTCTCTTCTGAAACTGCTGGATTTGCTTGCATTGCAGCCTGATGTGTGAACATGACAGAGGTAGAAGTCTGTCAGTGAATCAGATGTTTTTTCCCTTGTTATTGATGGCTTATTTTCTGTTGAGCATGATGCTTAGTACTTACCAGTAGAGCCCAAACAAAATGGGCTTCTGTTTTGGAATGGAAACTTGAGGAAGACATGTACTGCAAAATACTAGGAAGTGGTCCAAAACTTGCTCAGAAGCAGGTGGCAGATGAAGTTTGGAAGAATTTCATAGGTCTCTGTCAAATCTGGAAAATTGCTGAAGTAATTCCTACTCAGGCTGCTGTCAGGTAGCCTTTCTGTTTTCTTTATACAGTGTTTTACCTTTAGCAGTCAAAAAGAATAGAGGGTTTTTTTTTGTAAGAGATGATTTCACCAATTAAAGCAAAGTTTTATCTTCTAGAGCACTGTGTCTCATTCTCTACTGCTAGGGAAGGGGCTTGCCATGTGTTATGAGGGAAGGGAAAAACAGAGCATGATAAGATTATCATGAATACCTTCTAAGATAAAACATAGTAAAACAATGAGCTGTTTGTTAATAGATTAACTAGTTTGTTAATAGCTTACTGTGCACTGCTTAACTTCTCGTTGGAGTGTGACTTTTTAGCTGTAATGTCCACTTGCTATTGAGTTCTGTAAATCTGTGTAATTATCTAATCAAAATAATAACATTTTAATTTTGTTTCTGCAAACTCCCTTGCTGTACCTGAGGGCATGAACTCCTTAAAAACATTGCCTGCATAACCATGGAGTGTTTTAAGTGGTATTTTGGTGCCCTTATCTGTGTGAGAAAAATACGAGTTTTTTTAACCTTGAATTGCTACAAAATACTTTGTTTTCAATAGGTATGAGCAACAAGGGAATGAAACTAATTGAGGCATAAGGGTGGTGTTTATTTAAGGGCTATCTACACTGCTGATCAGTTGTTTCTGTGTAATGGCAATGCTCCGTGTAGGTGGAGGTACTCCAAAGGACTACTTTTAAAGGGGTTTTGGGAGAGAGCAGTGTACAGTGACGTGGGAACAGGGAAATAATGTTGTTTGAAAATGTAGTCTTTTCATTTAGAGAGACTAAATTGGTAAAAGGCACTGTGAGCTTATGGTTGGCTGCCTATGCAAGCATGCTGAGAAATCCACAGAAGTGCCCTGCTCCTCAGTGTGTTTTGGGGGTTGGCTTCAGCCTGATTTATGCCAGGGCTCATTTACCCATGCTGAAATGCTCTGATTTAGTCAGCAGTGTTGACAGAAGGAGGAAACAGGAAGCCTATCAGCACTCCTACAGTGGTCTGTTGCACCAGGTGAGTTGAAAAATGTGAGAATAGTGTCCTTTGAAAAAGTTAGTGCAGCCACTGTGTGAGGTAACCCACTGCTCAGCTGGGTGTGGAGCTCCTGTCTCAGCCTGGCCAGGCTGTGCTCCAGGGCACTCTGTGCTAGTATAGCTCTGCCTTTGCATTTCAGAGCTCTCCAGCACGGGGCTTTCCTTAGTTTGTCATGTCAGGAATGCAGCATTGCAAGAACTGTTGTTCTCTAGGAGAGGGAGGATGCTGGAATGTCAAGCCTTAAACAGGGCAGCTGCTTTTGTGGGCACTAAAAGAGGGAGTTTGGGCTGCAAGGAGGGGATGCTGCCCAGCTCAGGGGAGACCCCGTGTGCAGAGCTGCCTCCAGCTCTGGGGTCCCCAGCACAGGAAGGACATGGACCTCTTTGAGTGAGTCCAGAGGAGGCCTCCACAGTGATGGGAGGGCTGGAACACTCTCTGCTATGAAGAAAGGCTGGGAGAATTGGGGTTGTTCAGCCTGGAGAAGCAAAGGCTCTGGGGAGAGCTTAGGGCCTCTTCCAGTTCCTAAAAGGGCTCCAAGAGAGCCTGGAGAGGGACTTTGGACAAGGGCCTTGAGGAACAGGACAAGAGGGAATGGCTTCCCACTGCCAGAGAGCAGGGTTAGATGGGATAGTGGGAGGAAATTCTTCCCTCTGAGGGTGGTGAGGCACTGGCACAGGTTGTCCAGAGAAGCTGTGGCTGCCCCTGGATCCCTAGAAGTGTACAAGGCCAGGTTGGACAGGGCTTGGAGCAACCTGGCATAGTGGAAAGTGTCCCTGCCCATACCAGGGGGATGGAACAAGGTGGTCCTTAAGGTCCCTTCCAATCCAAACCATTCTGTGATTCTGTGAAGACTGAGGAAGAGAGAATTTACAGTAGTTATCTTTGTGACTGTGGTTTTCTACAAGCTGTGTGTTAAGCATGAAGAGATAGAGTGCTTCTTATTGTTCAGTGGAACAAGAGAAGGTTGCTGAA